AGGTCATGATCTCAGGGTCCTGGGAGCGAGTCCCACATTGGGCTCTCTGCTCAGCAGAGAGTCTGCTTCTCCCTCTCCCTGCTGCTCTCCCTGCTGCTCCCCCTGCTTGTGTTCTCTCTCTCCCTGTGTCAAATAAAAAAAAGTCTTTATTTACTTTATTATGTTATGTTAGTCTCCATACAAATCACTAGTTTGTGATGCAGTGTTCCATGATTCAGTGTTTGCGTATAACACCAAGTGCTCCATACAATGCGTGCCCTCCTTAATACCCATCACCAGGCTCACCCATCCTCCCAACCCCTCCCCTCTAAAACCCTCAGTTTGTTTCTAGGAGTCCATAGTCTCTCATGGTTCATCTCCCACTCCAATTTCCCCCCTTTCATTTTTCCCTTCCTTTTCCTAATGTCCTCCATGCTATTCCTTATGTTCCACAAGGAAACCATATGATAATTGACTTTCTCTGCTTGACTTATTTCACTTAGCATAATCTCCTCCAGTCCCATCCATGCTGATGTGAAAGTTGAGTATTCATCCTTTCTGATGGCTGAGTAATATTCCATTGTATATATGGACCACATCTTCTTTATCCATTCGTCTGTTGAAGGGCATCTCGGTTCTTCCCACAGTTTGGCTATTGTGGACATTGCTGCTATGAACATTGGGGTGCATATGGCCCTTCTTTTCACTACATCTGTGTCTTTGGGGTAAATACCTAGTAGTACAATTGCTGGGTCATAGGGTAGCTCTATTTTTAATTTTTTGAGGCACCTCCTCGCTGATTTCCAAAGTGGCTGTACCAACTTGCATTCCCACCAACAGTGTAAGAGGGTTCCCCTTTCTCCACAACCTCTCCAAAATTTGTTGTTTCTTGCCTTGTCAATTTTTGTCGTTCTAACTGGTGTAAGGTAAAGGTAGTATCTCAAAGTGGTTTTGATTTGAATTTCCCTGATGGCTAATGATGATGAACATTTTTTCATGTGTTAGCCATTTGTATGTCTTCTTTGAAGAAGTGTCTGTTCATGTCTTCTGCCCATTTATTGACTTGATTATTTGTTTTCTGGGTGTTGAGTTTGAGAAGTTCTTTATAGATCTTGGATATCAGCCCTTTGTAGTGTCATTTGCTAAAATCTTCTCCCATTCTGTGGGTTGCCTCTTTGTTTTGTTGACTGTTTCCTTTGCTGTGCAGAAGCTTTTTATCTTGATTAAATCACAAAAGTTCATTTTCACTTTTCTTTCCCTTGCCTCTGGGGACGTGTCTTGAAAAAATTTACTGTGGCTGATGTCAAAGAGGTTACTGCCTATGTTCTCTAGGATTTTGATGGATTCCTGTCTCACACTGAGGTCTTTCATCCATTTTGAGTTTATATTTGGTGTAAAAGAATGGTCGAGTTTCAGTTTTCTGTATATAGCTGTCCAGTTTTCCCAGCACCATTTATTGAAGAGACTGTCTTTTTTCCATTGCATATTTTTCCTGCTTTGTCAAAGATTATTTGACGATAGAGCTGAGGGTCCATATCTGGGCTCTCTATTCTGTTTCATTGGTCTGTGTCTGTTTTTGTGCCAGTACCATGCTTGGTGATCACGGCTTTGTGATATAGGTTGTAGTCAGGCAACATGATGCCCCCAGGCTTTGTTTTTCTTTTCAACATTTCCTTGGTGATTTGGGGTCTTTTCTGATTCCATACAAATTTTAGGATTGTTTGTTCTGGCACTTTGAATAATGCCATTGGAATTTTGATTGGGATGGCGTTGAAGGTATAGATTGCTCTGAGCAGCATAGACATTTTAACAATGTTTATTCTTCCAATCCATGAGCATGGAATGTTTTTCCATCTTTTTGTGTTTTCAATTTCTTTCATGAGTGTTCTGTAGTTCCTAGAGTATAGATCCTTTACCTTTTTGGTTAGGTTTATTCTAAGGTATCTTAAGGTTTTTGGTGCTATTATAAATGGAATTGATTCTCTAATTTCTCTTTCTACGGTTACATTGTTAGTGTATAAGAAAGCAACTGATTTCTGTGCATTGATTTTGTATCCTGCCACATTACTGAATTGCTGTATGAGTTCTAGTAATTTGGGGGTGGAGTCTTTTGGGTTTTCCACATAAAATCTTTTGGGTTTTCCACCGATGTGTTTTCATTCCACATCTGCGAAGAGAGAGAGTTTGACTTCTTCTTTGCCATTTTGAATACATTTTATTTCTTTTTGTTGTCTGATTGCTATTGCTAGGACTTCTAGTACTATGGTGAACAATACTGGTGAGAGTGGGCATCCTTGTTATTTTCCTGATCTTAAGGGAAAGGCTCTCAGCTTTTCCCCATTGAGAATGATATTCGCTGTGGGTTTTTCATACATGGATTTTATGAACTTGAGGAATGTTCCCTCTATCCCTATACTCTGAAGAGTTTTAATCATGAAAGATGCTGTATTTTGTCAAATGCTTTTTCTGCATCAATTGAGAGGACCATATGGTTCTTCTCTCCTCTTATTAATGTGTTCTATCACATTGATTGATTTGCGAATGTTGAACCATCCTTGCATCCCAGGGATAAATCCCACTTGGTCATGGTGGATGATCCTTTTAATGTACTGTTGGATCCTATTAGCTAGGATTTTGTTGAGAATTTTGGCATCCCTATTCATTAGGGATATCAGTCTGAAATTCTCTTTTTTGATGGGGTCTTTGCCTGGTTTGGGGATCAAGGTAATCCTGGCCTCAATGAATGAGTCTGAAATCTTTCCTTCTGTTTCTGTTTTTTGAAACAGCTTCAGGGGAGTAAGTATTATTTCTTCTTTGAATGTTTGGTAGAATTCCCCAGGGAATCCATCAGCCCTGGAGTCTTGTTTTTTGGGAGGTTTTTGATCACTGCTTCAATCTCGTTACTGGTTATTTGTCTATTCAGGTTGCCTACTTCTTCCTGTTTCACTTTTCGTAGTTTATAGGTTTCCAGGAAGGCATCCATTTCTTCCAGGTTGGTTAATTTATTGGCATATAGTTGTTGATAATAATTTCTAATAATTGTTTCTATTTCCTTGGTGTTAGTCATGATCTCTCCCCTGTCATTCATAATTTTATTAATTGGGGTCCTTTCTCTTTTCTTTTGGATAAGTCTGGCCAGTGGTTTATCAATCCTATTAATTCTTTCAAAGAACCAGATTCTCGTTTCATTGATCTGCCTTACTGTGTTTCTGGTTTCTAATTCATTGATCTCTGCTCTAATCTTAATTATTTCTCTTCTAATGTGTGGCTTAGGCATTGTTTGTTGTTTTTCCTCCAGTTCTTTAAGGTGTAAGGATAGTTGGTAAATTCGGGATTTTTCTGGTTTTTTTTTAGTGAAGCTTTGTATTTCCCCTTTAGGACCACCTTTGCAGTATCCCACAGGTTTTGGACCAATGTGTTTTCATTCTCATTGGTTTCCATGAATTGTTTGAATTCTTTGCTTTCCTGGTTGACTCAAACATTCTTAAGCAGAGTGGTCTTTAGCTTCTAAGTGTTTGAATTTCTTCCACATTTTTTCTTGTGATTGAGTTCCACTTTTAAAGAATTATGGTCTGAGAATATGCAGGGAATAATCTCAGTCTTTTAGTATCAGTTGAGACTGGATTTGTGACCCAGTATGTGGTCTATTCTGGAGAAAGTTCCATGTGCGCTTGAGAAGAATGAGTATTCTGTTGTTTGAGGGTGGAATGTTCTGTATATATCTATGAGGTCCATCTGGTCCAGTGTGTAATTCAAAGCTCTTGTTTCTTTGTTGATTTTATGCTTAGATGATCATACAAATGGCTAACAGACACATGAAAAAATGTTCATCATCATTAGCCATCAGGGAAATTCAAATCAAAACCACTTTGAGATACTACCTTTACCTTACACCAGTTAAAATGGCAAAAATTGACAAGGCAAGAAACAACAAATGTTGGAGAGGTTGTGGAGAAAGGGGAACCCTCTTACACTGTTGGTGGGAATGCAAGTTGGTACAGCCACTTTGGAAAACAGCGTGGAGGTGCCTCAAAAAATTAAAAATAGAGCTACCCTATGACCCAGCAATTGTACTACTAGGTATTTACCCCAAAGACACAGATGTAGTGAAAAGAAGGGCCATATGCACCCCAATGTTCATAGCAGCAATGTCCACAATAGCCAAACTGTGGGAAGAACCGAGATGCCCTTCAACAGACGAATGGATAAAGAAGATGTGGTCCATATATACAATGGAATATTACTCAGCCATCAGAAAGGATGAATACCCAACTTTCACATCAGCATGGATGGGACTGGAGGAGATTATGCTAAGTGAAATAAGTCAAGCAGAGAAAGTCAATTATCATATGGTTTCACTTACTTGTGGAACATAAGGAATAGCATGGAGGACATTAGGAGAAGGAAGGGAAAAATGAAAGGGGGGAAATTGGAGTGGGAGATGAACCATGAGAGACTATGGACTCCTAGAAACAAACTGAGGGTTTTAGAGGGGAGGGGTTGGGGGGATGGGTGAGCCCAGTGATGGATATTAAGGAGGGCACGTATTGCATTGAACACTTGGTGTTATACGCAAACATTGAATCATGGAACACTGCATCACAAACTAGTGATGTACTGTATGGTGACCAACATAACATAATAAAATAAAATTAAAAAAGATTTATATACCTTTGTGCAAAATACCTTATTCCTTTCAATTTAGGAATTATCTTCTTCTTTTTTTTTTTTTTTAAGATTCATCTATCCACTTTAGAGAGAGAGAGAGTGGAAGAGAGCAGGAGGAGTGGTGGAGAGAGAGAGCTCATCTTTAAAAAAATAAAATAAAATGTGAGCACAAAATCTTTTTTTTAAATAACTGTGATAAATATTTATTACTTTTATTTTTATTGCAGTATAGTTGACATACACTGTTATATTTGTTTCAGGTGTACAGCATAGTGGTCTGACAATTCTATACATTACTCAGTGTGCACTGAGTATAGTCACCATCTATCTATAGATTATTATGTTATTGACTATATTCCCTATGTTGTACTTTTCATCTCTGTTCCTTATTTATTTTGTAACTGGAAGTTTGTACCTCTTAATCACCTTTACTTATTTTGCCCATTCCCCTAACCCCCTTCCTTCTGACAATTATCAATTTGTTCTCTAAATAAGTCTGTTTCTGTTTATTATTTCAGATTCCACATACAGATGAAATCATGTGGTATTTGTCTTTTTCCATCTGATTTATTTCACTTAGCTAATACCCTCTATGTCGATTCATGTTGTCACAAATAGCAAGATTTCATTCTGTTTTATGGTGAGTAATATTCCATTGCACCCATTCATCTATCAGTGGACATTTAAGTTTCCTCTGTGTCTTGACTATTGGAAATAATGTTGCAATGAACATAGGGGTACATGTATCTGTACAAATTAGTGTTTTTGTTTCTTGAGGAAAATGCCCAGGGGTGGAATTACTTGATTGTATGGTCCTTCAATTATTAATTTTTAGAGGAAACCCTATACTGTTTTCCACAGTGGCTACAAATTTACATTTCCTTTAACAGTGCATAAGGGGTCCCTTTTTTTCAATGCTCAGAAACACTTTTTATTTCTTACCTTTTTGCTACTAGCCATTCTGTAGGTATAAGGTGATAATTCATTGTGGTTTTGATTTGCATTTTCCTGATGATTAGTGATTTTTAGCATCTTTTCACATGTCTGTTGGCCATCTGTATGTCTTCTTTGGAAAAATGTCTATCCAGGTCCTCTGCCCATTGTTTTAATTGGATTATTTTCCCTCAGTGTTGAGGTGTGTGTGTGTGTGTGTGTATACTTTACATATTTTGAATATTAACTCCTTATTGGATATATCATTTGCAAATATCTTCTCCCATTCAGTAGGTTGCCTTTTTTGGATTGTTGATGGTTTCTTTTGCTGTGCAAAAGCTTTTTATTTTGATGTAGTCCTAGTGTGTATTTTTGCTTTTGTTTCTCTTACCTAAGATGACATAGCTATACAGATGTTGCTAATGCTGATATCTAAGAGATTACTGTTTTCTTTTAGGAATTTTATGGTTTCAGGTCTCATGTTAAGGTCTTCAATCTAGGGCGCCTGGGTGGCTTAGTTGGTTAAGCGACTGCCTTTGGCTCAGGTCATGATCCTGGAGTCCCGGGATCGAGTCCCGCATTGGGCTCCCTGCCCGGCAGGGAGTCAGCTTCTCCCTCTGACCCTCCTCCCTCTCATGCTCTCTGTGTCTCATTCTCTCTGTCTCAAATAAATAAATAAAATCTTAAAAAAAAAAAAAAAAGGTCTTCAATCTATTTTGAGTTCATTTTTTTGTATATGGTGTAAGAAAGTGGTCCAGTTTCATTCTTTTGTATGTTAGCTGTCCAGTTTCTCAACACCATTTATTGAAGAGACTGTCTTTTCCCTTATTGCAATTCTTGCCTCCTCTATTGTAGATTGACTACATATAAGTGTGGGTCTATTTCCTGGTTCTCTATTCTCTTTCATGGATCTATGTGTCTGTTTTTGTGCCAGTACTATACTGTTTTGATTACTTTAGTTTTGTAGTATATATTGAAATCTGGGAGTGTGATATATCCAGGTGTTCTTCTTTCTCAGGATTGCTTTGGTTTTTGGGGATCTTCGTTTTCACAGAAACTTTAAGATTATTTTATCTACTTCTGTTAACAATGCTATTGGTATTTTGATAAGGATTGCATTGGATCTGTAGACTGCTTTGGATAGAACAGATATTTTAATAAGACTATTTTTTCTAATCCATGAGCATGGTATATCTTTTCATTTGTGTTATCTTCAATTTCTTTTATCAATATCTTATAATTTTCAGACCATAGGTCTCTCACCTCCTTGGTTAAATTTATTCCTAGTATTTTTTTTTTTGCTGCAAGTATAAATGAATTGCTTCCTTAATTTCTTTTTCTGCTACTTCATTATTAGTGTATAGAAATGGAATGGGTTTCTGTATATTAATTTTGCATCTTGAAACTTTACTGAATTAATTTGTTCTAAAGGGTTTTGGTGGAATATTTAAGATTTTCTATATATAGTATGATGTCAGCTGCAAGTAGTGTCAGTTTTACTTCTTCCATACCAGTTTGGATGCTTTTTATTTCTTGTGTGACTGCTGTGCCTAGAACCTCTAGTACTATGTTAAAGAAAAGTGGTGAAAGTGGACATCCTTATGTTGTTCTGATCTTAGAAGAAAACATTTTAGTTTTTCAACATTGAGAAGGATGTAGTGGTGACTATATTACATATAGCCTTTATTACGTTGAGGTATGTTTCCTACAAACCCACTTTGTTGAGAGTTTTTGTTATTAATATTGTATTTTATCAAATGTTTTTCTTGCATCTATTGAGATAATCATACGGTTTTTATTTTTCCTCTTGTTAAAGTGATGTATCGCATTGATTAATTTGCAAATATTGAACCATGCTTGCATCCTTGGAATAAATTCAACTTGCTCATGGTAAATAATTCTTTTAATATATTGTTGAATTCAGTTTGCTAATATTTTGTTGAGGATTTTTGCATTGATGTTTATCAGGGATATTGGCCTTTAATTTCCCCCCCCCCCTTTTTTTTGAAGTGCTTTTGTCTAATTTTGGTATCAGGTTAATGCCTTATAGAATGAATTAGGAAGTTTTCCTTCCCCTTCTATTGTTTGGAATAGTTTGAGGAGAATAGGTATTATTCTTTTTAAAATGTTTGGTAGAATTCACGTGTGAAGACCTCTGGTCCTGGGCTTTTGTTTGTTAGGAGTTTTTTGATTACCAATTCAATTTCACTACTAATAATTAATCTACTCAATTTTCTATTTCTTCCTGATTCGGTTTTGTACAATTGTGTTTCTAGCAATTCATCCCCTTGCTCTAGGTTGTCCAGTTTGTTGGCATATAATTTTCATAGTAGTCACTTTTAATTCTTTCCGTGGTGTTTCTGTGGTGTCAATTGTTATTTTTCCTCTTTCATTTCTGATTTTTTTTTAAAGATTTTATTTATTTATTTGAGAGAGAGAGAATGAGAGAGAGCAAGCACATGAGAGGGGGGAGGGTCAGAGGGAGAAGCAGACTCCCTGCCGAGCAGGGAGCCCGATGTGGGACTCGATCCAGGGACTCCAGGATCATGACCTGAGCCGAAGGCAGTCACTTAACCAACTGAGCCACCCAGGCTCCCCTCATTTCTGATTTTTTTAAAGTACTTTTTTTTTTTCTTGATGAGTCTAGCTAAAGTTTTACCAATTTTATTTATGTTTTCAAATAACCAGTTTTGGGTTTCATTTTTCTTTTCTATTTTTTTACTCTTTATTTCAGCTATAGTCTTTATTTTTATCTTCCTTCTACTAAATTTGGGCTTTGTTTATTCTTCTTTTTCTAGTCCCTTTATGTTTAAGTTTAGACTGTTTATTTAGGATTTTTCTTGTTTCTCAACATAGACCTACATCACTCTAAATTTCTCTCTTCAAACTGCTTTTGCTGCTTCCCAAAGATTTTGGACCATTATGTTTCCATTTTCATTCATCCCCATGTATTTTTTGATTTCCTCTTTGACTTGTTCATTGACCCATTAGTTGTTCAGTAGCATATTTTTTAGCCTCCATGTATTTGTGTTTTTTCCAGTTTTTTTTTTTCTTGTAATTCTAATTTTATACCATTGCAGTTGGAAAAGATGCTAGGTAAATTTCAGTCTTTTTAAATTTATTGACACTTGTTTTGTGGCCTAATATGTGATCTATCCTGAAGAATGTACTATGTGCACTTGAAAGGAATGTATATTCTGATGGTTTTGGATGGAATGTTCTATATATATCTGTTTAGTCCATTTGGTCTAATGTGTTGTTCAAAGCCACTGCTTCCTTATTGATTTTCTGTCTGGATGCCCTATCCATTGATGTAAGTGGAGTGTTAAAGTCCCCTAATATTATTGTCAGCTTCTTCCTTCATATCTGTTAATACTTGATTTCAATAGTTAGGTACTCCTCTGGTGAATGCATTGATATTTACAATTATTATATCCTCTGGTTGGATTGATCCTTTTATCATGATGTAATACCCTTTGTCTCTTGTTACTGCCTTTGTTTTAAAGTCAATTTTGTATGATATAAGTATTGCTACTGTAGCTTTTTTTTTTTTAGATTTGCATGGAATATCTTATTTGATCCCTTCACTTTTAATCTGTATGTGTTTTTACGTTTGAAGCAAGTCTTCTGTAGGCAACATGTAGATAGGTCTTGTTTTTAATCCATTCAGGCACCCTGTGTCTTTTGATTGGCACATTTAGTCCTTCTCTTGCTCTCTTTCCTTGTAGTTTGATGGCTTTTGTTAGTGTTACACTTTGATATTTTTCTGTTTGTGTGTATTTATGATAGTTTTTGATTTGTGGTTATCATGGAGTTTATATATAACATTCTATGTGTATAGTAGTATACACTAATTTGATGGTTGCTACACTTTGAACACATTCCAAAAGGATTACACTTTTACTCCATATTCCACATTATATGTATATGAAGTCATATGTTACATGTTTATATTTTGTATATCCCTTGACTAATTTTTGTAGATATGATTGATTTTTCTATTTTTGTGCTTAACCTCCATACTGGCTTTATAAGTGATTAACCTACTACCTTCATTATATGTTTGCCTTTACTAGTGAATATTTTTCCTTTTACAATTTCCTTACTGCTTGTTATGGCTTTTTTTTTTTTTTCCACTTAAAGAATTTCCTTTAACATTTTGTAAGGCTTGTTTAGTGGTGATGAACTCCTTTAACTTTTTTTGTTTGGCAAACTTTTTCTCTCTCCTTATATTTTGAATGATAACCTTCTTGGTTGTAGATTGTTTTCCTTTTCAGCACATTGAATACATCATGTCAGTTCCTCTGGCCTGCAAGGTTTTTGCTGAAAAATCAGCTAATAGCCCAATGGAGTTTCCCTTATATATAACTGTTTGCTTTTCTCTTGTTGCTTTCAAGATTCTCCTCATCTTTAATTTTTGCCAATTTAATTATGTGTATTGGTGTGGACCTCCTTGTGTTTATCTTTTTTTGGTGCTCTCCAAGCTTTATTTTTCACCTATTATTTATTCAAATAAGTTATCTGTTCCCTTCTCTCTTTCTTCTCCTTCTGGGATCATTATAATGCAAATGTTGTTATACTTGATGATGCTACAGAGTTTTCTTAACCTATTCTCATTTTTTATTGTCTTTTCTCTTTTTGCTATTAGGCTTGGTTGCTTTGTTTGCTGATCCATTCTTCTGTATCTTCTAATTTGCTGTTAATATCCTCTAGTGTATATTTCATTTCAGTTGTCATATTTTTCTGCTCTGATTATTTTTTATATTTTCTGTCTTTGTTTGAAGTTCTCACTGGCTCATCTACACTTCTGTCAAGTCCAGTAAGTATTTTTAAGACTACTATTTTGAATTCTTTATCAGTCATGTTGCTTATTTCTATTTTGTTTAGCTCTTTTTCTGCAATTTTGTTTTGGGGCATATTCCTCTGTCTCCTGGTTTTGTCTAACTCTCTGTTTGTTTCTATGTATTAGGTAGGTCAGCTATGTATCCTAGTCTTAAAAGTAGTAGCCTTGTGTAGAAGAGGTCCTGTGGTCCTGTAGTACAATCCCCTCTGGTCACCCAAACAAAGTGCCGGTGAGTGATCTTGATAATAGGGAAGCATATGGGTATATGGGGGCTGCGAATATATGGGAAATCGCTGTATCTTCATCTTCATTTTGTTTTTTTTAAAGATTTTATTTATTTATTTGAGAGAGAGGATGAGAGGAGAGAGAGAGCACATGGTGGGGGAGGGTCAGAGGGAGAAGCAGACTCCCTGCCGAGCAGGGAGCCCGATGCGGGATTCGATCCCGGGACTCCAGGATCATGACCTGAGCCGAAGGCAGTCGCTTAGCCAACTGAGCCACCCAGGCGCCCCATCTTCATTTTATTGTAAAACTAAAACTATCCTAAAAATAATCTTTCCAGAGATCTGATTTTAGTGCTTTAAAAAATACTAATGCTGAGGCCCCATGGGCATGAAGACAAAAGCACCCTAGTGATCCTAATATAAAATTAGTGTTGAAATCCCTGCATATATCGGACAAAAGTACAGTAAAAAAATATGATTATTTTGAAATAAATAAAAAATTAAAAAAATAGTATATAATTTACTGGAACTAAAAGAAATACATTCGTACAAAAGAAAACTCCTTATTTTCTTACCATTTTCTCACTACTTACAGAGCTTCTTTATTTTTTTTTTCTTAGAATTTCTGTTATGGTTCAGATCTGAAACTTTTATTTTCTTTGGTGACTTATGCTTTTAAATTAAGGTGTAACATTATCTATTCAGCTTGCAATGATTATATATATTCTAAATGATGTATTACCACTTCTAAGCTACTATCACAACCATTAACAGTTACAAAAATAATTTGTAATGATCAACTTCAAAACAACTGACGGTTACTACTTTACATATTCTAGGAAAATTAAGCAAAACTTCCACAATTACTTTAGGGTATCTTCATTTCTTTTCTTTTCTTTTTTTGTTTTTTAAAGATTTTATTTATTTGAGAGAGAGAGACACAGCAAGAGAGGGAACACAAGCAGGGAGAGTGGGAGAGGGAGAAGCAGGCTTCCCGCCGAGCAGGGAGCCTGATGCGGGGCTTGATCCCAGGACCCCGGGATCATGACCTGAGCTGAAGGCAGATGCTTAACCATCTGAGCCACCCAGGTGCCCCTAGGGTATCTTCATTTCTTTAATTTCCATTGACAATCTCTTTTGTTGGTGAAGAATTGGCCAGAGCATTAATGAAGAATAATCTAACGTCTGGTTAAATAATTGCTTAAGGAATGTTAATTGATGGAATTATCAATTCAAGCAAAGATTTCATATTTCACTAGAAAGATTTATAGTTGTCCTAGTCAGAGTAACTTATTCCTAGTTAATTTATTGATCAAAGATATAGATGATATGCCAATTAAAGTATTAGATGATACAGAACTGGTGATAATTTTTAAAGTTTTGAATAACATAACATTTCAAGTGTGAGCAATAGATATAAAGCTTAACAGTGATAAAGTCCTAGGTTTAACCAATTAAAAGCCTAAATACAGAACTTGCTTTCACTGTTGGTTATGATGTAACAGGTAATGGCAAGCTATAACTCCTGTTATAACACCTAAGAAAAGGAAAATCATAAAATGTATTTTATCAGTACTCTGTACTTGTACGTGTGTGTGTATGTGTATATATATAATGTATAATGTATATATATTCACAATATCTTCTTTATCTGTACTTTATCAGAGTACTGATAAAATTTATATTTTCACAGATATTGGAGAACTTTAGAAGTAAAACAAGTGAACTAAAATTCTACAGATGGATAAAATTTCCTTGGTAAATTTAGCTCATAAGACATTTTCTTCCATGGGATATTTACCTTTTCTGGAGATGGGCTGAGGATGTGCTTACCATAGGGGAAATATTCAACTAGGGGAAACAGAAACCAGCAGAAGTTTTGATGGTCACAAGCTGATGTGAAAGATTGAAATGTAGAGGGATCCCAAACTCCTAGGATGCTTTCTCTATGGGATATTTGAATAATTAGGTAATTGGGACATTGAAGGGCTGGACTAGAGAGAGTAAGAGCCCCCACAAATTCATGGTACTTTAAAAGAAAGTCCCACTAGAGGGAGGGGTCTGCAACAATATAGAGATGACAAACTCCTGGAGACACTTGAAACTAGAGGTAGAATGATTTTAATTAAAGCTAAACTCCAGCTTTTTATTTCATTTTTAATTGAAATATAGTTGACATATTAATTTCAAGGGTACCACATAGTGATTTGACATTTGTATACATTACAAAATGCTTACTTTGAGAAAAGTAGTTAATATCTATCATCATACAATGTTATCAAATACTTTTACTATTTTCCATATGCTGTACTTCACATCCCCATGACTTATTTATTTTATAACTCTAAGTTTATATCTCTTGATTCCTTTCACCTATGTCACCCATCCCTACAGTCCCAGCCCCTCTGGCAACCAGTGGTTTGTTCTTTGAACTTATGAGTCTTTTCCTGTTTTGTTTGTTCATTTTGTTTTGTTTCATTTTTTTTCAGATTCCACATATGAGTGAAAGCATACATCATTTTTCTTTCTCTGACATTGCACTTAGCATAATACCCTCTAGGTATGTCTGTGTTTTGCAAATGGAGTGATTTCATTCTCATTTATGGCTGAGAAATATTCGTGTGTGTGTATGTGTATATATATAATGTATAATGTATATATATTCACAATATCTTCTTTATCCACAAATGAACACTTAGGTTGCTTCCATATCTTGGCTAATAATCTGCAGTGAAACGTAGGTGTGCATATATCTTTTCAAATTAATGTTTTGTTTTCTTCAGGTGAATACCCAGCAGTGGAATTGTTGGAGTATGATATTTCTGTTTTTAATTTTTTGAGGAACTTCCGTATCATTTTCCATATTGGCTGCGCCAACGTACATGCCTAAGAAAAGTGCATAAGGGTGCCCTTTTCTCCACATCCTTGCCAACATTTATTATTTCTTTTCTTTTTGATACCAGTTATTCTGACTCATGTGAAGTGATACTTCATTATGGTTTTGATTTGCATTCCTCTGGTGATTAGTGATGTTGAGCATTTTTTTTCATGTGTCTGTTGGCTCTTTGTAGTCTTCTTTGGAAAAATGTCTATCAGGTCCTCTGCCCATTTATCAATTGGATTTTGTGTGTGTGTGTGTGTATTGAGTTGTATGAGTTCTTTAGATATTTTGGATAATAAGTTCTGATTGGATATATCATTTGCAAATATCTTCTCTCATTCACTAGGCTGCATTTTTTGTTTTGCCAGTGGTTTCCTTCACTGTGCAAAATCTTTTTAGTTTGATGTAGTCCCAATTACATAGTTTTGCTTTTATTGCCCTTGCCTGAGGAGACAGATCAAAAAAATATTGTTAAGACCAATATCCAGTAGTTTATTTGCCTATGTTTTCATTTAGGAGTTTTATGATTTTAAGTCTCACATTTAGGTTTAATCCATTTTGAGTTTATTTTTGTATATGGTATGAGAAAGTGGTTGAGTTTCATGCTCTTGTATGTAGCTGTCCAGTATTCCTAATACCGTTCACTAAAGAAACTGTCTTTTTCCCATTGTATGTTCTTGCCTCCTTTGCCATAGATCAATTCACCAAATAAGCGTGGGTTTATTTCTAGGCTTTCGATCCTGTTCTATTGATCTATGTGTGTATTTTCTAGTATAACCATACTGTTTTGATCACTATAGCTTTGTAGTAGAGTTTGAAATCTGGGAGTGTGATACAACCAACTTTGTTCCTCTTTCTCAAGAGTACTTTTGCTATAATGTTCTTTTGTGTTCCATACAAATTTCAGGATTGTTATAGTTCTGTGAATGTTGCTATGTTATTTTGATAGGGATTACAATGAATTCATAGATTACTTTGGGCAGTGTGAGCATTTTAACAATATTAATTCTTCCAATCCATAAGCATGGTGTTTTTTTTTTTTTTTTTTTTTTTTCCATTTATTGTGTCATCATGAATTTCCTTTATCAATGTCTTATAGTTTTGAGGGTACAGAAGTTTCACCTGTTTGGCTTAATTTATTCCTAGGTATTTTATTATTTTTGCTGCGATTGTAAATGAGATTGTTTCTTAATTTCTTTCTGCTGCTTTGTTATTAGTATATAGAAATGCAATAGATTTCTGCATATTAATTTTGTATCTACAACTTTATTGAATTTATTAATTCTAATAGGTTTTTGGTAGAGTCTTTAGGGTTTTCTATGTATAGTATGTCATCTGCAAATAGTGACAGTTTTACTACTTTCTTACCAATTTGGATGACTTATTTTTTTTTCTTGTGTGTTCTTGTGTGATTGCTGTGGCTAGGACTTCCAGTACTATGTTGAAGAAGAGTGATGAGGGTGGTCAACCTTGTATTTTTCCTGATTTTAGAGGAAAAGATTTCACCTTTCACGACTGAGTAAGCTAATACTGGTGGGTTTTTCACACATAGCCTTTATTGTGTTGAGGTATGTTTCCCTTTCAACCCACTTTGTTGAAAGGTTTTATCATGAATGGCGGAATTTTGTAAGATTTTTTCTGCTATTGAGATGGTCATATGATTTTTATCTTTCATTTTGTAAATGTGATGTATCACGTTGATTGATTTGCAGATGTTGAATCATCCTTGCATCTCTGGAATAAATCCCACTTGATTATGATGAATGATCCTTTTAATGTATTGTTGAATTAGGTTTGCTAAGTTTTGATGATTTTTGCATAAGTGTTCAGGGAAATTGGCTTTTAATTCTCTTACTGTAGTGTCTTTGCTCTTAGTGTCAGGGTAATGCTGGCATGGCAAGATGAATTTGGAAGTGTTCTTTTTTTTTTTTTTTTGTAATTGTTTGATAAGGATAGGTACTAATGCTTCTCTGAATGGTAGAATTCATCTGTGAAGACATTGGTCTTGGATCTTTGTTAATAGTTTTTTGATGACTGATTAATTTCATTACTAGTAATAGATCTGTTCATATTTTCTACTTTCTAATTCAGTCTTGGAAGATTGAGTGTTTCTAGGAATTTTCCATTCTTTCTAGGTTGTTCAATTTTTTGGTGTAAATTGGTCTCTTGCAATCCTTTGTATTTCTGTGGTGTCAGTTTTAACTTTCATTTC